AAACAAATAAACAATAGAGTAACTCGTTATTTAAGATTTAGGATACTTATTATATAAGAATTCCTAGTTTTGTAATGTTTAATTATCTTTATTAGATAACAAGTACTGGATTTCGTAAAACATATATCAAACAATATAAAATACCAGACACACTAATTACACAATTTTTAGATCACGTGAAATAAATCCAAAATATAAATATTTATAGACATTAGATTACATAATTCATTTACTTCTTGCTTTCTAAAAATAATTTATTGCATGGATAATAAACTCTAAATTATTATAGAATTAATAAAAATATTAAAATATAATATGCACCATATATATATGTGTGTGTGTGTGTGTGTATGTGGTGCTGGTGCATATTATTCTAAAAATAACAATCTCATACTTATTAGTATACTACTATTGTAATATTAAGAAAACTTTTCATGAGTCATGCATGACTCACGAACACCCTCCTTGGTGGACAAAAATTACAATTCAATAACCGATTCATGAGGTTAAACAACGTAGAAGTTATTAAAAATGTATTGGTTGATGTCTTTGTCACCGTCTAAACTTAGAATGTAATAGATTTAAATGTCGTTCGGGATGTGCATGTATTAATGTCATTTTTTGAATAAAAATAGCCGCATAGCCCTACAGTAGCGAAAAAATTTCGCCCCGCTATACTAGGGAAAAAAATTTCACCCCGCTACACTAACAAAAAAAATTCACCCCCTACACTAAAGAAAAATTTTGCCCCCTTGACTCAGAATCCTGGATTCGTCCCTGCATGATAGTATGCTACAGTGTGAAATGTTTTAAAAAAGTGTCCTACAATTTACATGAAATAATCAAATCAAACAGTGTAAACATTTTACGTTCTTACACTTCGCATGCAAAATAATTACTTTACCTCCTACCAAAAGCTCTCATAGATAAAACCCAATGTACTTTATATCACTAACATCATAATTCACAAATTTTCGTTGAGCACCTCTTTGGTTAAAACCTTATTCGTATATATCAAGGTTTAATAACTTTTCAAAAAAAGAAAAGGTTTAATAAGATTTGAGATTTCACTAACCTAGAGTCCTGGACCAGAGGCGGATATGTTGTCTAGACTCTAGGGGTAGACTGGTCCCCTTCCCGGGTAGTTATAATTTTATGATTTTATCGTATTTATTATTCACATTGTCTACTGTCTAGGGTAGGGCTGAGCAAAATGGTTTGGTTAATTGAATCGAACCAAATTGAAAATTGGTGCTTTCGTTTGGTTTGGGTTTACTTAAGTAAATCGTTTGGTAACAATTTGCTCCAACCGAATGGTTTGGTTTGGTGTGATTTTAAACCAAAAAATCGTAAACCGAACCGAACTTGTAATATTCATTAAAATAATTTGTATTTATCTTCACTCTTTATCTTTAGGATATAAATAAATAATTATAATATGAAAAATACATGTTAAGAATAATACCACTTTAACTTTTACATATTCATTACGACAAAGTTAGCTAATAAGACAGTTGTATTTGTTATACTTTGTACTCTACATGTCTGAAAAGATATTTGGCGACAACAATATCAAATTACATTTATATTATTTTCAATTAAACTAGAGTACACCATATCTTACATGATTCATTTGAATAAAATTGTGGATTTTACAACATTTTTAGCGCCGACTCATTTAGTTTTGTTTGAAGAAGAAGACTTGGAGATGACCAATTGGGCCAATTATATATTTATGGTTCCGCGACTGGTTAGGTTGGACTTGGAGACTGAGTTCGAGATGTTGCGGATTGAACTTGTAATTTTCGGAGACAAGGGGAGTCAATTTCGTTTTTGAGGATTCTTGCTGCTATTGATCTCAAATGAGTTTTATATTAAACTCGAATGAGTATACGCCTAAAAGGAATGAACATACACAAATGAGCTTTTGAATTTTTTGATACTCATTCTGTAATTATGTATGCTCATTTGGTACCGGTTTTATGCTAATTTATAATGTTGCATATTTCAAAAATATCATATTACATTAGATTCTCATATTAAAATTCATAGGAGTTGATTATAGATATATTTTAATAAGTTTTTACAAAAGAAAACATAAGAATAAGAAAATGAATTAGAAGATATTAATCAGAAATCACGATGCTCAATATTGGACTCCTAATTCTCAACAAAATAGATCTGATACTCACTGAAAGTGCATTAATGTTCATTTAACTGAAGTCGAGATTTTCACATTATTTACGAAAATGCCACCAGTTGTTCAGTATATGGACTCATCGTATCATTTTGGGAAGAAAAATATAACAGTCATATTTTGATATTTTAAAACGTGTTTACTTCTATTCCGGAACTATCCTTTTAAATTTTAGTTTTTGCTTGGATTCTAACATTATATAGTGAATTTGGTTCAACTTAAAACTACTTTCATATATCTTAGGCGAAAAATGAGGATTAATCTTCATCATAGATATCATAAAATAGATGCAACTCCAAAACGCTATGGTGATTTGTAATTACGAACTTTTAATTAAAAAAATATTGATAGAAGTGGATAAAAGTGTAGAATAAATGCATTTGTACAATTCAAAAGTGCATCATATACGAAATGAATTGTTTATAATTATAAAATCTGAGCAAGCTTGAGTGCGCATTTATGAAGTAATGTAATGTACTTTATACTTTAGAGTACTACATTTTGTCCCGGTTTAATGTTCTCATTCAAAAAATGACATGATTTTTTAGAGAATATTTAAACAAAGTAATTTAAATATATTTTGAGAAGTAACATGAGTGGATATATAATAATAATAATGATGATAATAATAATAATAATGATAATAATAATAATAATAATAATAATAATAATAATAATAATAATAATAATAATAATAATAATAATAATAATAATAATAATAATAATAATAATAATAATAATAATAATAATAATAATAATAATAATAATAATAATAATAATAATAATAATAATAATAATAATAATAATAATAATAATAATAATAATAATAATAATAATAATAATAATAATAATAATAATAATAATAATAATAATAATAATAATAATAATAATAATAATAATAATAATAATAATAATAATAATAATAATAATAATAATAATAATAATAATAATAATAATAATAATAATAATAATAATAATAATAATAATAATAATAATAATAATAATAATAATAATAATAATAATAATAATAATAATAATAATAATAATAATAATAATAATAATAATAATAATAATAATAATAATAATAATAATAATAATAATAATAATAATAATAATAATAATAATAATAATAATAATAATAATAATAATAATAATAATAATAATAATAATAATAATAATAATAATAATAATAATAATAATAATAATAATAATAATAATAATAATAATAATAATAATAATAATAATAATAATAATAATAATAATAATAATAATAATAATAATAATAATAATAATAATAATAATAATAATAATAATAATAATAATAATAATAATAATAATAATAATAATAATAATAATAATAATAATAATAATAATAATAATAATAATAATAATAATAATAATAATAATAATAATAATAATAATAATAATAATAATAATAATAATAATAATAATAATAATAATAATAATAATAATAATAATAATAATAATAAGGTCATTGATAGTAATTGTGATGTTAAACTTTTATTAATTTGAATGTTTGATGATTAAGTTATCATTTCCTATTAAAAAATGAGAAGCTTTATATGAGACGTTCAAATGAGTCAATGGCAACCTTCATCTAAGACACAAAGATATGAAATGTTGCACTTTAAACTTTCAAATATCTACAATGTTGCCATCACAATATTGTTTGTGAAATTGACCTAAATTATTCTCACTTCGCATGGACCATGTACTTCTAAAAAAAGAATGACACCCCATCAGTGAGGGCCCCCAACACCGAACCATTTACTTCTAAAATGCCTATGTGTGGGAGATAATTCAAGTGAAAAGAAGTTTTCATGAAATGTGGAGTTTTTTTCCTAATTAATGTTAATTAATTAATTAATTACGAAATTAGGGCTGGGTTAAAAGTATTTACCAAAATACTGCTGGATTAACCATGGTCGGGGTAAGTCGCCCAACGGTTGGGCGACTTCTAAGTCGCCAAACGGTTTGGCGACTTATAAGTCGCCCAACCGTTGGGCGACTTACCTATTAAATAGGCAGACGGGCTGGGTCTGCGAGATAGAACGCAGTTTTACTCCCCCAAACCCCAGCTGCAGCGACGAACGAAGGACGAGCGAACCCATCTCTGGCGACGCTCCATCTCCAACTCCAGCGAAGTTCCATCTCCGGCGACCCCATTCCGGCGAACCTCCATCTCCAGCTCCAACACTCTTTCTTCTTGATTCTAGGTAAATCAAACTCCATTTCATCTCATTTTGAACCTAGGGTTTTGAATGTTAAAATTTTCGAATTTTTGGATTATGAATTGATTGTGAATTCAGTTGTTGTGAAATGTGGACATGTATGAAATGTTGAAATTTGATTTTAAATTGATTGTAAATTTTAATGTGTATTTTGACATTTGGGCATTTGGATAGACTCGATTGTAGCTAAATTTGGATATTGAAATGTAGACTTGAATGTAGTTATCAAAATTTGGGTAGTTTCATATTGAGATGTGAATTGTTGGTCAATTTCGACTTTTGAATATATTACAATTTTGGTAGCTTTTTTATTTAGGAAATTTGAATGTGTATAAAGTGTGTATATTGATGCGTACTCATGAATTTTGGACAATGAATTGTTATTAGAATATGGATTTCTCAAGCTTCCCAATCGTGTGTCATTGGGGAGGGAACTATTATGAGGATGCTGGGCAAATATGCCATGAAGGTGGTAGAACCAGCTTTGTCATGGTTTCTCGTGGCGCTTGCATGCTCGAGATAATTAACTAGAATAGGTGTAGAATAAATAATAATTTTGTATGTTTATGAAACAGATCACATGGATGCCGTTTAGACCTGATATGTTAGCAGAGTTGCCCCCAGCTGGACGAGAGCATACTCACATCTGGCGAGCACGTGTCCCGTTGATATGTTTTGACATTGTTGAGCTGCATTTGCCTGATAGAGTCATGCGACAGTTTGGGTTTGAGCAGGTCGTTCCACGTCCTATCGACACTTATGTAGAGCTGCATAAGCTGGATAGGCGTGGGAAGCATACAGAGGATTGGGCACTCAGACATGTCCGATACGTGACTATGTGGGAAAGGAGAGCTGAGCTAGCTGTGGTTGGGACACCCACATATGTGCCATCTGTTTCAGGAGACTACATGGGATGGTACTACAGCATCACTCGGTTATTTGTGTCTCCTTCGTTCAGACTCCCTACTCATCATTATCAGCCTAGCTCCTTGGCTTTGCATCTTACGGTGAGTATATTAGTAATTAGTAAAGTAAGTCATTTTATTTATGTAATACTTGTATGTATTTGAATGTAATTGTAATTGTGTTTCATATTTCAGACACGAGCTTTGCAGCGCATACATCAGCGGGCTACTGCCACTGTGACTGATATTCCTGATGTGGACATGTATGGACAGGCTCTGACAGGCATTACCTCGTTGTGCTCAGATGTGTTGGGCCGAGTAGACTACGGACATCTTATACACATGCCCCCATCTCAGGAGATGGCATCCACGTCTAGTGCAGCCGCGGCTTCATCATCCCAGACGCAACATGAGAGAGTGGTTCTTCAACCACGACAACGCCGTAGGCGTAGACATGAGCAGCAACATCTCCATGACGAAGCTGATGATGAGAACTTGTAGTTTGTCTTTTGTATTGTAGTTTTTCTTATGCAGTAGATGTTGTACGAACAATGTACAAGTTTTGATGTATTTTGTCTTGTTAAGTATTGTATGGTGTATTGATGTGTTCGAGTATGAATATTAGATGATTACTTGTTATGGCATATATGATGATTGTATTGTGTTATTCCGGTTATGATTTGAAGGTTTTTTACGGGTGTTTATAAGGTGTTTTTAATATTGTTGAGAGTAGGTCATTGTGAAGACGTGTGTTGTATGTTTTATAATGTGTTGTATCTAGTTCGTAATACTTTAACAGGAGAAGGGAGACCTTATTTATAGCAAACAGATGAGTCTGGGTTGAACCGAGGCGAAAAACCTGATGAAATGCTGTTTTCGGACATAGGCACGATCGTGCGTACCCTTGTAGGCACGATCGTGCCTGGCTGGCAGTAGCTGCTCGCCTTCAACCACATTTCAGGGGTAAGTCGCCAAACCGTTTGGCGACTTATAAGTCGCCCAACGGTTGGGCGACTTACCCCTGACCGTGGTTAAGGGCCAGCAGTATTTTGGTAAATACTTTTTTTCCAGCATTATTTCCGTAATTAATTAATTACTTAACATTAATTCGAAAAAAAACTTTGAAATGTGAGAATAATTTATGAAAATGGGTGAAATGGTGAATTAAATGAATTTTTAATCAAAAGAAGTGACGAATTAACGTACAACGTTTCCAGTACAAACGAATGATTATTTTATATTTTAATGCACTTTTTGTATACTCTGATACATCCTTTGTTTATTCATTATCTATCATAGTATCATGTCACCCTATTTCATAATTCAAGTTTTATCTTTTCCATCCATTTTTTCACATCAATGATAAAAACTAATTCCTATATTTCAACTAGGAAGCACAATTTTGTATTTAAACAAAATTCCACATATATATAACATTACTAATTTTATGTATTATATACAGAGTAATCGATATCAGTTCTCAACTATGGGGTGTTTGGATTTGATTCTTAAAATTGTTTCTGCTCCTTCAGGAAGCAGGAGTTAGAGTGTTTAGGTGGAAGTAGGGGTGGGCATAAAACCCGAACCGAACCGGTACCGAACCGTCCCGTAATGGTACTGAACCGATTAACGAGTATTTAAACGGTTCTATAGATTTTTGTCCCGTACCGAAACCGTACCGTTTGAAACGGGTACGGGACCGGTCCTAGATTTTGAGAACCGAAAAATACCGGACCGAACCGTTTGAAAATAATGCATTTGAATTTTTTATATTTTTCTATACCAATAGATATCTTTTATAGAGTAACAATTTTATAGCCCAAGTATGTATTAATGTGTCCCTAAAATAGTAAAATGTGTGTGTTTATATTATATTATATATATATATTGTGATTTTTTCTTTTTAGATAATTTATGTTATATTTTGGTTTGTATTGAAAGAATATTAAAATTTGAAAAAATATTAATGACTATTCATTTCTAGTAATGTAGTGTACGTGACTTTTTGTTGTATACATCTTGTTTGTGCAATCTTACAAATTAATTAATACTCCATATGATTTAAATCTTAGCTCTCAAGGTTCATCTATAAATTAAATTAGAACTACGAAGTAATATTTAACCTAGAATGAAGAAGAAGAACGTTGAAAATTTCTATTATATTCAACATTTCATGTGAGTTGGTTGGTGTGATGATATCTACTAATTTAGCATGTGTTTGGCATTGTACCGTACCGTTTTGTACCGTTCCGAAACGACATGGTACCGAATGGTTCCATCCTTGGAACCGGATCGTACCAGACCGTTAAAAACCTTACGGACACATTACGAGGTTTACTAATTTACCGGACCGCGCCCACCCCTAGGTGGAAGTGCAGAAGTACTTCTGATGTTCTAATTTACTCATAGGATCGGGTTTTTTAGAAGCTGGGAGAAACCAGCTTTTGAAAACTAATTCCGATTCTGCTTTTAAAAAAAAAAGTAGAAGCAGGACCAGTTCCAAACACCCTCTTAGTCATGGACCCGGTTCGGGCCAACCGGCCCGGCCCGCTACTGTGCGGGCCCGGCCCAGTCCTTCGATCCCGGTACCGGGCTTTGACCCGAACCGGCAGGGTAAAGCTGGGCGGTCTCGGGTTTGGCAAATGGTGACCCGGCATGGCCGGGCCCAGTTCGAGCCTAACGGTCAAATTTAAAAAAAAAAATTAATTACAACCGAACAAGGCCCTAGCCGTTGGGCAGGGCTCCCAAACAGCTATATAGCCGTTGGGAGGGGGGAAAGGGGTCCCGGGCTTTAGGGGTGGGGGTGAGTGGGGGTGGGGTGGGGGTAAAAAAAAAACTATAAATTGTAACCGGCCCGACCCGACACCCGTAACCGGCTAACCACCGGGCCGATCTCGGGTCCACAGAAAAAAAATTAGGCTCGGCCGGGTCGAGGCCCGACCCGGACCCGAGTCCATGACTACACCCCCTATACGTATATCACTAGTACATTATATTATTATTAATAAATACTCCGTATATATTTTAATACCGCTTCCCCTAAATTTAATACACATTATTTAGAAGGCAGTGTCTACTACCACAAAATTCTACTATTGCGAGTAGTTCAGTACAACTTCGCTTCGCTCACAAGAAAAAAAGAAAACATTGTATAACTTATGAACTTAGGCATTCGAACTTGCATAAAAAATATGCTCCAATGTTAGAATTCGTTCATTCTACTAGTACAGTACTACAAATGCGCAAACCCGATAACAGCCCAAGCATAAAAGCTGTCTGCTCACACAAGTCTCAGACTCTCTCTCTGGTCACTTTGCTACCCCCAACCTCTGTTTTGAATCGGCTCAAAAGCTAAAGCTAGTGGCTCCATCGCTCCATGTAGTGGAATTCACCGTAGGACACATTTTTTCAAGTAAAATCATGATAGGCTTGATACTAGTTTGGCAAAGCGTGACAGGACAGGTGACCAAGAGTGTTTCTTTGAGATAATAATCCACCAAAGCCCCAAACTTTTGACACTCTAATGTCTTCATGCAGGTGCCCCTGAGTTTGACAAAATTTCATGCACGTCCTTAAAATAGGACCACCTTTCTTGGCTCTTTACATCATTCTTAGTTTCCTGCTAAACAAGGGATGCACAGCCATCAGACTACTGAACTACAAGTCAACCCATGGCACAATTGACAGTTATCAAATTAGCCCACTACTACACATACTATAATAACACGTAATTATCAATCCAGATAGGACAATAGAGTATCTAAATGGACCAAGAGGCAATGAACCACTAACATCGTATTTTTGAACAAGAGATGTCCATAATGATTTGCATTGCGCAGGGGTTCGAATGATTCCATCAGATTGCAAACTTGAAGATATCTCTTGCCAGAGAGCCATTCGCCCCTTTGGGACTTGAAATTTGCTTTTGAGTTCACCACGCATTTTAATCAACCTTTTAACCTCTTCAGGTTTCCACTTGTTCCTTTTAACGGAATTAGAAGATTTTGATTTCAACAAGTCCGAGGGGAGTGCACTGTTGTTGCTATCATGCAGTTTTTCTTGACGGAGGTCATCATTGCAATCTTCTTCTGAAGGAACATCATCCATAGATAACTCTTGCAATATTTTAGATGTATACCCTTCAACACCAACATCAGTAGAACCTACTTAAACACAATAAACCAGGAAAATGGATTACTATATAAAGTACACTAATGAACACTTATGGGATATATATATATATAGACAAATCTTCATGTCAGGCCGGCCTGTCGGGATGCTCCGTCCGGCCGAGCCCGTTTGGGCACCTTCCCGGTGGAATTTTTTGATGAAATTTGTTGAGCATGTTCCTCATCAAGTCTAGTTTGTCCATACCAAATTTCGGCTCAAAATTCGATCGGGAAGGCATTCAAATCATTTTTTGAAGGTGACTGCGTCAAAATATACATATAAAACTGCAGTCAACTTCAAAAAATGATTTGAATCCCTTCCCGATCACATTTTGAGCTGAAATTTGGTATGGACAAACTAGACTTGATGAGGAACATGCTCAAAAATTTTCATCAAAAAATTCCACCGGGAAGGTGCCCAAATGGGCTCGGCCGGACGGAGCATCCCGTCAGACCGGCCTGACAAGAAGACCACTATATATATATATATATATATATATATATATATATATATATATATATATATTGAAAACCTACTAGATTTGACATACTCACTTAATAATGCTCCAAATAATGTACACAGAATGTTTTACGAAGGAACAACCGAACCAACTACTAAACTTCGGTATGACATACCATGAATAGTTAGTTATTTGGATGGATTGATATATAGGAACAAATGACTACGTTCCAATATGGATTTCTTTTTCTAGTTCCAATATCTAGGATTCTAGGACTAGGAACAACATAATGTTTTACATAGAAACAATGACCAAATTCCAATATGGGCATAACATGGATGGTTACTTGAATCCACAGACCAATTATCATATCAAACTAATTATGTACTTCTACCAAAGTTTTGCAGGAACCCTCAAATAAATGAATTTACACGATCTACACAGAGAAAGTTTAAAATGTAATTGATAATGTGTGAATTTAAAATGTGTGGATTTAAACGTGCTGGCTAACTAGTTGTAAAAATATTTAGAGGGGCTCATCCTTCTACAGAAGTGGTTCAAACGGCAAGAGTTGAAATGGAAGCACCCCCGTAAATGAGATTAGGAAAAAGTCAATCTAAATGTTAAGACTTAAGATCCAAGGACAGAGATTATAAAATAACAATGGGGCTAAAAGCATGTGAGACAATCAATGTAAAAGAACGTATGGGCAATACTTTCTCAATTTGTTAAACTAAAAAAAACACAACATAAACCTCACCTTTTTCTTCCTCATATGTGATGTTCATGGGAAATTCAGGGCCATTGTCCTCTTGTGCTTGTATCGTATTTGATGCCCCCCTCATTTTGTGATCTCCATTTATGGATTTTCTTAGTGCTGAAACTCCAGAACTAGCACTGGACTTTCCTACTAGCCTGCCATGGATCTCATCCGCTAGGACACTGACAGGATTTTCTAATGCAATTGCAATAACTTCAGGTCTTTTACTGCTATACTTTCTTACTAGTTTCCTTAAGATTTCAGAAACAGTTCTTTCGATGTGGTGGAGAGGACAATTTAAAGGACAGCTAGATAGTGCAGCATGTGCAGCTTTGTAAAGTGCATCCAAAAGTTTTCCTTTATCAAGCCATAGACAACGCGTTGTGATTCTTATTTTTCCTTTAATGGATGTCTCAGATAAAGGAACATCAGTGCTTTGGGGACGCATAATCTCCATACTGTGGCACAAATAGTTGCTAATGTCAGGCTGTCAACACGAAGTAAAGAAGACAAGATAAATGTTTCAGAAATTCAGAAGTTACCTGACAACTATTATACCATCTGAAGCAATTCTCATTCTCTCATCGATGCAAAGTTCAACAGCTGTACCAAATGCTTTGTCGCCATCGCTGTACATTAACTGCAGTTTTAACGCTCTATTAGCATTACGACTAAGGTGCTTGAATTTTAAATACTCAGATGTGATTATTGAATATTGAAGGACTGGATACCTGCAGATCCTCTTTATGCAGGGAAATAAAACCATTGGATAAAACTCTTCTGTTCCTCAGATGTGAAATGCCCAGCATCTCTCCGTTTTTTATAACCTGGTGATAACAAAAGTAAAAAAAAAAAAAACAATTGCAAAGAAGAAGCGCCCTAAAGCTTTATGAATAGATTAAGCACCCCACACATAATAAACTTTAGTAGCTACTTCCCTGATACTCGCAGTTAGAAGCATCACAAAATGTGCTACAGAATGAGACCAGCATGTGAAACCCAAATTTTCCATTCTTTTAAAGTCTTTAAACTAAACCTTATCAAGTTTGAAAAATATTAGTCATCAAAAACTGAAAAGCGAGATTAATTGATGCAACATTATAGGTAATGAGTGTTGACAAAACAACAGTTAAACGTTAATGAATACCTAAATAAAAAAATATGAAATCTTGAACATTTACATGAGTGTCTATTCTTAGTTTCTTACAATTAAGGAGGTAACAGATTGTCAAAAGCAGACATAGAGGGGCCAGTAGACTTGAGAAGGGTATTGTAGATCCGATCCAAATTCCTAGAAGAGTTGAGTACTTGATGTCATAAAATGGCATTCAAGTGGAATGTGAAAATTTCTGTCATTTTGAATCAATTAGCTCAACAATAACCTCGACTGCTGAGTTTGCTAATTGCAAATAAGATTTTGGTAATCAACGTGTGTGGAATACTCCCATCTTAACAATGTACTGGTTGTTAATGTGGTGGTGATTTCCATTTCTTGGCATTATTTGTCCTTTTCTTGTTACAATCATGTTCCAAGATGTGAAATGGCCATAGCAACTATTTCAACTCATCAGTTTCTTGAGATAAATCCCATTCAAGTGGAAAGAAGCTGTGATGATGACAGTTGTAAAATTTATCTCATAATCCTTGTAAGAAGGTTGCTACAAGAACACCTCGCATAACACTTTATCACTGCTTTTCATATGAAATTATAGTGAACTAATTTTAGAAAATTATTTCATTACATAATTGACACTACACTTCATGCTACCAATCCCAACAGTAGTTGAGATTAAGGTGCAAATGATGACAACTTGTCTTTTTCCTTGTAATATTAAATATACTTGGAAGATTTTCTATACGGCAAGTCGGCAATCTGATATGAAGCGGGAAGAGCATGGGGCGGGACGGGCTTGAGCCCACCTTCGTGGGCTGGCTGCGGGCAATTTAATTAATTTTAATTATTCCTTTTATTTTGTTTCCTAGTATGATTTAATTAGGACTTCTATTAATTAGAGGTTTCCTATTTCTATTTAGTTTCCTTGAATGGTTTAATTAGGACTCCTATTATGTTTCTTACTAGGATTTAGTTTCCTATTCAATTTTGGATGTAAGGGTTATATAAACCCCTGCCTAGGCTTATTCAAATGAGGCATTAATAATATTGGTTTTAGCTATTTAGCTCTGGGCAACGGATCCAGCCATTGATTATTTTGGGCAACGGGTTACCCCGTTGATTTTATTTTTTCTGTTCTTATCACAATCACACCTATTGTTCATAAGCAAATTGATTTTAACAAACCATGTATCTTAAGCATTCACACCACTTATTGCAGGTAATGAAGTGTATTTCTGTTTTACATATCTGTCATTGTACTTGGACTATTTAGAATGATCCCCTGAAGCACATTCAGGAAGCCTTCATGCTTTAGTTTACTAAATATGAGAAAATAGAACTTACAGTAGTGTGCCTAATGCCAGTAGACCTCCCAAGCAGTTCATGCTCCTTTAAGAATAAAAGCTCTCCATGAATTGGAAGAAAATGTTGCGGCTTCACGATTTTCAGCACTTCTTCCTTCAAATGAAATTTGAGAAGAAAAAGTCAAGTTCACCATAAATTATTATTTCTTGTATCTGGGGGAATAATAAAGCGCATAGTTATGATGTGAATGATTCAGTAATACACAATTATTATACAGAACATTTTTAAATTGCAAGAGTTTATTATACGTAGTTATAGTCTCTATTAAAAAATTGCTCAATGCCTAGTACATAAAAAACAAAAAGAAAAAACATTAAGAGTGGTATTAATGTATCATTGGATGCATTAAAGTATATTATCCTACAACTACGTCCATAAACTCTTTGGCCCCGCATTACGGCACTACTATTGAAATCAATAACTTAGAAAAATAATAAGCCACTGAATATAGAGGTCTACTTTTTCCCGGAAATAACAAAGAAATAAGTTCTCAGTTCTCACATTTCACTTCAGGCAACTCTTCACTTTCATGATTAGAATAGAAATAGCATACATAATGTATATGCACGTCTTTGTTGTCAAAAAGAAAAATCATTGTATATCCCCCCCAATTACACACGTCTGATAGTTTTATGTCACTCATCTTGTGTGAAACAAAGCATGAGCAATGGTTATATAGTCAAGAATCAAGATGAAATTTAACTCTTCATTCATAGTTTAGTTTAATCTACATAAACAAAATTATTAGGACTCTAGGAGTATGACTAAAAGAGGTGGTGATTCATAAAATATGACTACAACAACAACATCCAAGCCTAGTCCCAAAGGATTTTGGGGTCGGCTAACACGATAAGAAAGATTAAAAGATAAGATATGATAACAAAAAGATAAGATAAGATAAAATAGAGATAAGATATACATAAAAATGATAAAAGGATAAAAGGATAAAAACATAAGAATGGTAAAGAAGATGGGGGGAGATGATAAGATATCAATCCATTACGCGAATACCCGCCCTCCGCTTTGCTCTCTCCAAACTCATGCTCTCCCCTAAAATATGATGTTTTCCATGTTCTACCTTCAATTTAATACTTACTCATGTTCAAGTTTGTTACTCATATATTAGGAATCTATAAATGTTTTAGACACATAAAGATAAATTTCCCATCTACACAATCTAAACCCAAATAAAGATCAGCAGCCCACAAGTACGAATTTTATTTCAAGAATAAAGGAGTACCAATTCTTCACGGTGAGCATGGCCAGATGTGTGCAGAAGTGCACTCTTTCCCATTATTACTGTTGACCCTATTCCAGAAACACGGTTCAGCATTTTCATTACCCGAGTCTCATTGCCAGGGATCACCTACAAGATAGATCACATAATTTATCATGGCAGTCGAACATCCACCAGTTTATTGCAGGGAAGGGAAACACTCAAAGATGTCTAGTATATGAGGTTTCCCAAGAAAAATAACTGTGCCAATATCCCAAGGGCATTCATATCATTCTAACAGGTATCATCAAATACTAACAAAAATGAATAAAAGAACTTTCATAGTCATCAATAAAAATCATAATCTCATTAAAATGGTCTAAATCTGTAGATAAGGCATTATTATCTGATTGACAGATTCAAGAGGCGTATTTTAGGAAACAGCCCTCACAATGTTGAGGTAGTAGTGTAGTGCACTCGAATAATCCTTACCTGTCAATAGAGAGACAAAAAAAATGGTACTCACTCTTATATCCCTCATTTAGTGACATTCAAAAAAAATTAGAAGCAACATAGGGCTAATTCTGCTTTATCCATTGTTCAACAACAGAATGAAGAATCTGACTGCAGAATATTCATGGGAAGCAGTTGGTGGTTAAACAGAGCAAAGTCACAATATTCAATGAATGAAGGAGTTATGGGCTTATGGCACCAATGGACTTTACTTGCAAAGGCTGTTTTACCAGGATAAGGACTTTAATCATCATCAGTCATCACCATAAATCCTTAATTCCAACTACATTGTGTATTGTGACATGAAACTTAAAAGTGTCAATTAAAAGTCGAATGTTAGCAACTAATTAACACTATAAATTCATGAAAAGGGGAAGTAGTCGAGTTTTATGATAGCCACCGTTCCTGTAGCAACTTTCTAAAGAACACATAATATATGAAATTCCAAAACCGTCATTTTCCCAAACACAAGGATATAATGATATATCATGAGACGGTGATGAATTAAGATAGTCATGCCCATTGCAAAAAGGATATTGTAAAATCGACATGCACATCATGAAACATGACTGTAACAAGGGCTTTAGAATATTCTGTTTGAAAAGAAATGTTATATATAGTTATATACTTATATAGACACCTTAGATTTTAGAACTCGTTACCTTAGCAGAATAAAGAATCAAATCCTCCTTGTTCAGCTTGAGTAAATGGCTACTACCATACGATGCAAGATTCAATGCAGCTCGTGGTTCAGCCTGTTAGAGGGGGGAATTTTATATATGCAACAGCACAGTTTGCAGAGCATACGTATCAACTTTACTTACTTGAGAGCCTGTTGTGACAATCACCAAATCTTTTGGGGCATAAGCATCAATATCTTCAGCTTTCACCTGTAAAGAGATTATGAGAGGAACAACAAAGTTACAGGATTTTTTAACTTTTTAACTAGATTAACTCTTCCATTTTTGTTCAAATAAAATGTGTGGACAGTCTAGTAGATGCATCGTGTTCAGATAGTGAACTTGCAGTCCGTATACCGTGCAACCGGTGCATGGTGAGCACTGAGCACCATGCACCCATGACTACATGAAATGTAACTCGTGTGATTTCACATGTAACTTCAGGTTAATCAAAATGTAAATTACACTCATTCACATGTAACTCGTTGAGATTAAATTGCTTTAATTGAAATGTAACTTGAAAACAAATTAGATGTAACTTGGGATCATAGTCACATAGTTCGCGGAACGCTTCGGTACGGGAACGAGGAACGGGAACGCGGTTCGCTAGGTCTAGTGTATCCGATTCGGAGGGGAGTAGGTTCATTTCGGTACGCGTTCGGTACGGTGTTCCTTACCTTCAGTACGCAGTACCTTATGTTTTGGTACAAGAATAAAACATAATTACAGATTTCATAGCATTAAATAAAAACATATTTCGTAATATACTTTCATAACAATAAACAAAATAAAAAAACATTAATATTATAGAAACTATTGACTCAAAAGTAGAATGTTTGGACTTCGGTGTATAAAATAGAACATTTTAACTTACGGAGTAATTTATAAGAGTTAGAAAATCGTAGAGTTGTACAAGCCTTTTGGGTCAGAAAACTAAGAGGCTGGAACAAAAATGTACACCTGTACAAGCCTCTGGAAACGAAGCGCTCTTAGAGTTGGAAATTGTGCGTTTGAGAGGAACGACAAGTCAGAGTGCCAAAAGGGTGTCGCTGGGAAATCGCTTTGGGGAACGACTTGCAAACCATTTCCGATCGAACAGAAAAACGATTGCGATCGATTTGTACAACGATTGTTATCGATTTGAACTGCGATTAGGATCCAGTAGCCAAGCGTACCGCATCGCATTCCCTTTAGAGACTGGATCGCTTTCGTACCGCGATTGGGTACGGAGCGATCAGTTCGCAGATCGTGGCTCTTCTAGCGATCTATGTAACTATGCTTGGGATATGTAACTTTAGACAAATCTTGATGTAACTTGAGTGTACCCAACATGTAAATTGAGGAAGATCTAAAATAATTCATCAGTCATCTTCAACAAAACAGGTCTCCATTGATCGATTCTGGTTCTGATGAGTCTCAAAACCCAATCGAGTAAAAACAAATTGAAATCCTATAAAATCCAACTAACTAACATTCATAGTGCAGAAAATTTGACAAAAGTAATACGAAGTACATGGCAAACTTTTGAAATTGAAACATGGTGGGCACGTATGTCGAAATTGAAAGTAAAGGCAACCATGAGGACTGTTTCACGCAGAGCCTGGTTCACGCATTTTTTTAGCTTGCGCAAGTATTCAGTGTGGTTTTGGGACTGGGCACACCATCCTCATGGTGTGCCGGTCGTAGGGTATAATTTGCCGTGAACTTGGCTATGACAGATTAACATGCCCCAATTCACATAAATTCTAACTCCCTCCATCTATACTTTTTTTGTTGTCGTGATTTATCACCCCTGATACACACTGACACACACAAAAAAGCACTCATAAGGTTTATACAAAAGTAACACATAGTAGCACACATAAAATAAATTTTGAAGACCATGAAATTAAGGTCCCAGTTTTAGACTGCCATAAATAACTATATGGAGGATGGGTGACAGAGAGCCACCACCCACCTATAAGGATGAAGTGTTAGTTTATTACCAAAGTTGATGGATCAATTGGAGCCTTCCCATCCTTCCATGCAGCATCAAGATATGTCCTTAGGGCCATACCAACAAACACCTATCACAAGTATGACATTAGCAACTCAATCCATGAATAGAGATGATACAAGCGCTACTGTAAAAGGTCCCCAAGGGAATATGAAAGCTAAATATAAAAAGAAGCACTAAAAAAAACCTACCAGCTTTCTCCCAACCAAATCAGCAGCAGCCTTTATACTTCCAATCCGGTGAATGTTTGATGCAAATTGAGTAGTGATTACCCTTCCTGTTGCAGCAGATATGTGCCTCAGCAATGAGGCAGCTACAACAGTCTCACTAATGGTCCTTCCAGAAGCAAGGACATTTGTTGAATCACTCATCATCTACAAAAGAATTGAGATTGCATACAAAATCACATCGATGGTTGCTGAGAGAACAGCAAAAACAAATATGCATGAATATCAAATGCTCACCAATGTTACCGGCATGGTTAGAAGGCAAAAGAGGTTGATAAAGGAGATCCACTCTTTTAAACAAATACAAATTGAAGTTCAAAGCGAAACTAAATGTTGAGTTGTTATATTAAGATGGGTATTACTGTTAAAAGTACGAAATATTTATACAGATGCAACCCATAAGTCCAATAAACATCAATGGTGTTGGGTAAAACTGCAGAAACAGTGTTTCTGGTTTTAGTGATGTTCGCTACAGGAAAATCCATAATCAGATTCCATGCTTACCAATGTAACCCCTTCTTTAGAGAGTTCCTCAAGAGCACCACGATCGAAAAAATGTCCATCTAATGGTGATTCATCTATCTGTTGAGCATAAAATAATTATTTACAATAATGGAGAGACTATTAATGGTAAAGCTGATAGAAGCAAACAGCTCCACTACCTTCCAGTCGCCTGTATGGAGAATAGTGCCAGCATCAGAACGTAGAACTAGTCCACAACAATCAGGGATAGAATGGGTAACCCTTATACATTCTACCTCAAACGGGCCTGCAGTAAATTTTCTTCTTGTTTTAAATACTTTAAGCCTCGAAGGAACAAAGATATTGAACTCCTTCAGCTTTTTTTTTATCAGCTGTTTACAAACAAAAAGATAGTAGCCTATTAACAAAACAAAACGCGTATTAGGATGCATTCCATCTGAATATCATCAAATACTAGAACTATCTCCTTTTAGGCATGCAAATCAACCAACCGTTCATTAAACTGTTTGTAAGCAAGCTTGATTAAAGATCATCTGCATTGGTCTAATCAGATTAAAAATCAGTTTTTAATAAACCAGCCAATCGCAAACAACATTCATTTGGTTACTGTTGAACATGGCAACCCTACTTGGCACTAGTTGAAACTTGAATGTAGCAGGTATATATCACACCTCAAGCATACAATCAGCACATCCTGTGACCTTGCATACTTTGCATTCCCCTAGTGTATCTATATCAAGTGCGGTGTTGCAGGCCTCATATAATCAAGCTAATAAAACATCACAATTCTCTCAAAAGTTGGTTCATGCCGCTGAACAAGCTTGTTTACCAGTTTGTGAATAAGCTCAAGTGCTCAACTTTCATTTGTTTATAGTATTTAATTATTTATATGATATCATATCTGCCCCAGATCACTAAATATGAGGATTGTGGCCCCGTGTTCCCTATATAATATCAGGATTTAAAACACCGTATTCAACAATGAGTATCCTTCTGGACACTGGAGTATTAACTCGATGTCCATGTATGAGCCTTGGAGAAAGTGTTTAATAGTAAAAGGTGGTAGTGCTTGAGAAAAAATGTTTTTGAAAAGTAAAAGTTGGTAGTGTTTGGTGAAATATGTGCTTTTTGTGTAATAGAAAAGGTAAAAAGCAGTTTCCAGCTTTTAGCTTTTAAGTGTTTAATTTAAGCAAAAGTTGTCACTTGAAAATACTCATTTCATCTTTTTAAATCCAAAAGCTGAATATCATTCATTGTTTGCAAACATACCCATTATGCAACCGACTTAACAAACTACCCTTGAATGCCTACTCAAAAAGCTTAATTGATCTCACATATACTTGGAGTAAACCAACAAATAGAAATATTAAAATATTTCCTTTTATCCAAAAAAATAAGCACATTAGAAATACAAAGGTATGCACATACAGTAACAATCAGCTTATCAAATCACCCTTGAATGCCTACTCAAAAAACTTGACTGAGATCACGTTTACTTAGAATATACCAACAAATAGGAACATAAGAAATATATAGGTATGAGTATGACCATATAGTAACTCAATTTTTGGGGACACTGCAATTTCACATCCCTATTGAGCTTAAGAAATTATGAAACTTTTGAGTTGTATATCAATGAGAGACGTATGATTCTACAATGTCCTCTTCATTTTCAAAGCTGTCAAATTACTCCATTAATGCTGCCAAAAACTTCCATGTTTAATTTCACATTAACTATCCATTTTGGCATTTCCTCGCAAACTTTTTCTCCCTTGCTAGACATGCTATAAACATATTCACATGAATAAGAATAACTACTACTAGATCTTATAAGCCAAATGATCCACAAATGTGAATTGCATACCTCCATTGTGAATGAAGATGCAAATATCGGTGTCTGTGAATCAAGGCTTGGAATGACCTGGTTACCAACAAACTGTTAATAAGAAATTTACATAAATATTAAATATATACTGCAACTCCAGAGTCCAGATATGTGGGTGTCCATGACAAAAAAAGGTGCATGCACAAGACGCATGCACAAGTACCAAATGCACAAAAGAGAGTTACAGTTTACACCCTCACAGTCTAAATATAGAGCACAAATAAAGGAAACTATCAAAAAGGAACACACTCACGAAAAAATCTTCATAATAACTTTAGCCAAGGCGGCACAGCAATGTAACAAACTTCTTCATGAAGCACATTTGAAACTTTCTAGAAGATGAAATAAAACATTACCCAAGGCAATGCACCAATATGATCCTCATGTCCATGAGTTATGACAACTGCTTCAATTTTGTGGCTCCACCTTTTAATGAATGTGGTGTCAGGAATAATTTTCTGGACACCAAGGTCGTCGTATCTGGATAAATGTCAAAGAAGATCCAGTATTGATCCACTATGGATAAAAAATAAGGAAATGAAACTGGAAAGTAAATACATGGCCTCTTAATCTCTTATAGTAAACAGTAGGATTAGGGGAGATGAGCTAATCACGGCTCAGCAGGATTATTAAGATTGAATTACTTGGTAATGTGTAATTCTGATGTAAGTTGATCCACAGGTGTCATATGAAATCATCCCAAGCACTTACTAGAAAACAGTCATGCTTAATGATAAATGTAATGATTCACTGGTCTCAAGCTCTGGGAAGTATATCTTCCAATAAATGTACTCCACATATTTGTTTATTCTTACCCGGGGAACATTACACCAGCATCAATCAGTATATATCTATCATAATATCCAACTAGCATGCAATTCATCCCGATCTCTCCTAAACCTCCAATGGGGAGGATTCGTAAAGGAGGGCCTTGGGACCCTTCATAGAATTGTTCCATCTTACGTTGAACAGAGTCATCCATACTTTTTCCAGACCCTTCACCTATTAAACGCCTTTTAAGAGGAAGCTTAGTACCACTTGCGCCTGAAAGGACAGTGCTGGCTAGTTATCAACTCAGTCATTTCATAAATGGAAAATCAACAAGGAAATGATTTATCTTGTCTCTGAAATCAACTAAATACGAGGCCACGTACAAGCCGAAGCAAACAAAAAATAAAATACGTGAGTTAGGGACAAAATGAGTCATTTCCATCAAACAATTGAGCTCTTGCAAACGAAGATGGAAGAATCGGTCGTTTTGGGTACCTTTAACAGACGAAGTATGCACCGAGCAAGCACTGAATCGTGGTCTTCTGATATTAGGCTGATACCATAGCATGTACGGACTCGATAAAATACTAGAGCCGAAAGAAGCGACAGCCATTTTCACTCAACTAGCTGGGAACGAAAATGGGGAACTGGATGAGCTGAAATGCGTGCCCGGCTTCTGAGCGAGGGGTTTAAGAGTGTTCCATAACACTAAAAAGTGCAAAATTGTAGGACTAGATTTTTTAAACGGGGTAATTTGCACCCTGTTTTAGAGTGCAAATTGGACTTTTCATCCTATTTTTAAAAAATTATGTTTTGCACCCTAATCCCAAATGAAAAGATTAAAGTGCCCATCCATTAACAAATTTGTTGGCTTTCAATATATTCTTGATCGAGAGCGTATAGGGTCGAGGTGCAAAAAGAATGATTTTAAAAAATGGGGTGCAAAGTCCAATTTGAACAATAAAATAAGATGCAAACTCAAATCACCCCTTTTTAAATTCCCTTAATATGACTATTTATATGTAATTGGACAAATATACCTTTGTAGCTTGTGAAATATTTTAATTAATAATAAAATCATAAAAAAATAATAAAAATAAAAAAATACTAAAAAACGTAAAAAAAAAAATAGAAAATTAGTCAAAATACTACATTCGTCCCTTAAAACTTTGCCAAAGTTGACCGGCACGGAGAATAATAAAGTAGAAATTGTGTGGTTGAGGTTTGTGCAGAAGAGAGAGAAATAACAGAAACCATAAAATAATTGATTAAAAGGGAAAATGGCAAAGTTTTTTAGGACGTCCCAAAAAGGAAAGATGACAAAATTTTAAGGGACAGGGGGAGTATTTTTTTAAAAAATTAAAAAAAAATTATAAAATTAAAAAAATCGTAAAAGAAAACATTACCACCCCTGCCACCCCCAGCTCCCATCACCGAAGAAAAATATGCCAACATTTTAAATAATGCCATAATGATGGCATATTCAATGAAAATGTTGGCATATTGAAGAGTAATTATGCCATTTTTTTTGCATTTTCAGAAAAAATGGCATTTTTTTTACCAAGGGTGGAAGAAGTTTCACCAATCGGGGGTGGTGGTGGTGCTGGGAGGCGGTGGGAAAGGTATCCATAATTTTTTTTCATTTTTTATTGGTTTTTACTATTTTTTATTATTTTTATAAACAAATTAAAAAATAAAAAAATAAATATTTCATTTTATAGATATTTTATAAATTTTTATAATTTTTTTACATTTTTAAATATTTTTTACGATTTTTATGATTTTATTATGAATTAAAGCATTTCATTATGAATTAATACTCTTAGGGGTATTTAGGGTAGAAAATCGATGTTTAGTCCTATTTAGGGAATTTGAAAAGTAGTAGTCCTATTTGTGCTTTTTAGGAACTCATTAGTCCTGTTTAGGACAATTTCCATTCCATTATCTCTACAATATTATAAACATGAGTATGGGTAGGGTTAGAATCGGTAAGAAAAATTTGTTCGTGGTACTCAAAGCTTCATGAAGGTGTATCACAAGCTTAAGACATTGTACTTTATCATGGATTTAATTCAATCGTTTCTGACGTCTGCACCGGTTCGTTAACTTCCGTTAGGGTACCTCAATCGAGGGGCTGGGTTGCGGTTAGCTATTTGGCCCATTGAAGCCAGTTTGTCCGGCTTAACCACTACGACCTCAACCTATTCGAATTATAGAAACACCGGCGAGTCTGTTCTTCACCTTCCTTTTTCCCTTTATCTTCTCCCCACCCACTTCTTAAGTTTTCGCCGTTCATCCCAAGCATATATCTGAAACCATCATTCAAGGTAATACATACTTATTTCAGCTCCTGTGTGCGATTTGTTTAGTGTTACATATTTTACTCTAAATCTGAACATCTAAACCGCATTCATGTCTTCAAATGCCCCTAATTTTATATTCCTTCTCTGAACTCTTTCAGATTTGAATGTTAACTTCACCCTACAACTAATTTCTTGTATTCATTTAGGGATTCGAATTATTTATACCAAATAAAGTATTGTTTTTTAGGAATGAGCTGCAAAGGTTTTATGATGAAGAGGAATCGAAATGAAGCTTTCTAAATTCTCCTGAATGGCGTGTCTCACGTCTGGCCTTTTAGTTATTGTTAACCCCTCTTATGTTATACGAAGTATATTTATATCCCAATATCAAATGTAATCTACTACGTAGTTGATTTTATATTTGATTTTAATACTAAAAATGTTATTTCCTGCACTATTCCTTTTCAAAATTTCTTCATTATATTTTGCTTGGTAGCTGAAAGAGGTTAGTGGTTGCATCTTTACTCCGTAAGTCTATTACTTCTCTTAGTGTTATACATAATATACATTTTTTTCTTTTTATATTTGTCAATTTGTATTTTTGATAAATCCAACATATTTGTATACGCTATCTTATCAAATCCCCTATATTCTACAGTTTAAGTGAGATAAGTTCTTATAAAGAAACAAGAAGACGTGCTACTTCAATTTAATTACATTGGTTTTCCTAAGAATGAGGTGGGACGAGGCTTATCATTAACATTACATACCAGGACCTCATGTTACATGGCATTTTAGCTATGAATTGTCTGATATTTCATACAGAGTACTACTTTAACTATAAACTACATAAAAAATCCACTCTTGGATTGTAGAACGTACAATGACAACATCAAACTGAATTTTTTTATTAAAATGTAACAGACCGATTTGGCTTTGTGTACTTCATTATACTTAAAAAAAATTATAGATTAGTTTACAAAATCGTGCATGTAGCGCGGCTGGGCTCGTAGAACACTCAGCTCTCTGTATTTTCCAACCCTTTTGTACGCATTTTTTTATTTTCTGCTCTCACATATAGTATCAAAGTGAGGTCTTTTCATTGTGTCCATGGTTGTCGTACTAGAACATTTAAGTGGCTCAAAGTTTCAGATTGATAGATTTTGGGTATGAACTGGGTAAGAGTACGCCATATACTTAGATATGTTTTATAACATGCATTCTTAACATTTTTGTCTTCTCGATGATTTTGTTTATAAACTGGAATTGCTTGTTCACTGCCAATTGGAAAACAAAAACTGAAATGTAGTTTTATATCCCTACCATCATATAACACTAGAGTAAGAGTAGTTTTACCCATGTTTTATTATCACGTCTCTTAACGTTTATATGACCTATACATTTTTTCTTTTACTAGACTAAAATTGTTTTTACACCAAAAAGTGAAAACTGAAAAATTGAAATGGAGTTTTTTTTAATCTACTCCCATTTTTTACAAGACCATTAGTCCACATACAATCATACAATTTATGGGAACAATTATGCTCACAAAACTCTTTTTCCTTGTGGCTAAAAATACTTATAAGTTATAACTAAAATTCTCTTGAAAGTTGTTATTAAGTTTAGTTTTTCGGTCCACAATTATATGACAACCTAAGCAAACATATTCAGCATCTTTTGTTAATGTGCAATGTTCTATGCTTAGGGGTGTAGTCTGTCGCATGACCAGACCAGAGCGGGAGTGGGACCACAAAATAAGGATTCCGGACTAAGACTTGAGTGACGAGGTAGAGGTAATTATTGTCTCGAGCCTTTTTTAGACCAGACAATCTAGGACTATAATATTAACTAATAAGAATGATGCTTTTTTTGGTTCCAAAGTACAGAGTTGTTTCTATTGTTAAGTTTATGAGATTTTTCTTGTTATTAGTGAAACTCCCTTCTCGAAGATATAATATTATTGTTGATGTTAATCAAATGCCTTAACTCCCAACCTTTGTTGAGTAATGAATGCCTATCAGCCCTCTAACGTCATGTACATATAAACTCAGGCCATATTAAAATCAGGTTAATATGAGAAATGCAAGCCATATCAAATCAGGCCATTTTTTTTTTTTTGAAGTGATTCATAGTACTGATTGCTTTGAATGTAGTTTCATCTTTTGTTTGTAGTAGGACTTTATTCTGACCACACACAAAAAAAAAAACTCCGTATTAAAAGTAGTGTTTTTTGTTCCTTAAAAACAAGATGGGCTCGTTCTAAAGTAGGATGGTTTTACATTTTCTTAGAAATATTTTGTTCAAAAAGAAAACTATCAATCACTCTCTTGATGTAAGCGGCTTTGCACAAGTTATGCTTTTTAATCTTACCAAACACTTTCTTGATTTTTTCTACCCTATATCAAATTTGATAAAGTCCTAAAAGTGTATTTCACGTATATAACATTGGACATTTATCTAATCACGCATCACGCGTGCAAAAACTAGTACTTCCATGTAAGTGAAGTGACGGGGAAGGCAGCCACAGGCGACTGATTTATGACTCTGTTTATTTTTCGAAAAATAATAATTAAAAATACATATTATTAGTAAAATAAAGAAAAAATTGTATGAAATATAGTTAAAATAGCCTTCTACAGCAATTTCAGTCAATACAATCATAAAAGTAACTTCAACCTTACTTTTTTTATTATTACGCAATTCAGCTCGTAAAACCAAAAGCTACGTATTTCGTGAAAAAGTTGACATATAAGCCTGAAAAGCCAAAAATCATGGCTACCAAACGGGCACTAAACCTGCACAAGTAGACAATTTTACCAATAACTAGTCTTTCACCCGTGCGTTGCACGGAATCCAAAAGTAAATTGTAGGGTCGCAAAAGTACTCCGCATAAAATAAAGTTGACCTATTATGTTTGAAAATTGTTTCAAATTGTATTCTTGTAGTTGAAAAGGCACCCTTTTAGAATATTTTGCACAATTTTTAAAACTACAAAAAAAAATCTATTAATAGAAAACCATAATTGGGTTTCTATTGAAAATTAAATACATATTACAACCACATGTTTCACAACATCCGTTTTATTGCACTACTAAGAGTCCTTAGGAATGTTTTTAAATAAAAAAAAAGATGTGAAAAATTAAAAGACTTAATCTTTATCAAATCATATACATAAGTTCCCCAGAAGACCACTCTTAAGCTTCTTAATTGGGAACAACTATTGTTGTGTTTTGAAATCTTAGTCTAAGAGAAGAAATAATTTTTATTTGAGAGGAAACAACTACAACTGTAGTTTGCTTATTGTTACAATGGTGATTACTTTTATCCTACCCTTTCTAAGTTCAAAGTCTTACTAAGTTCTTCTCTCTAGGGTTGGCTCTCGGCCGACTCTAGTGTAGCTACGTTTTTCCTTG